AAACTTTCAGAAAATAATATTCCATATACTGCTTCTATGTTGAAGCCTGAACAGTATAACACAATAAAAGTGCATAAACCTCGTTATGTAAAATATGCAATCAATTAAAATTATACGAGCACGAGGACATGATGATATATTTAGACTCCCACCATACCATCCCGATTTGAACCCTATTGAAATGGTTTGGGCAACTTTGAAATTCTATGTTGGAGCCATCTACTAAGACTGAGAATTTATTAAGAATGACATTTACGTGAATACAGCAGAAAGTTTTTCAAACATTTCCTGTGAAAGAATGGAGAAAAATAACTGAAAAAGTCACCGCAACTGAACGTGAGTCAATATTAAAAAGCCATTAAGGCTGTTTTAGCAGTAAAAGCATACTGCGATTTGAAATGGGCATAGCACTTACTTTTCTACACTGCTTACGCCAGATCATCTTTACTCAGTGACGCAGGCCGACGGGTAGTTTAATGACAACAAATGCATTATTCTCCATTCAAATTAGTTTTAACACGAACTAGATGACCGTACGTTCATGAGATTTGACGTCACGAAGGCGATAACGATGAAACGGTGACAATGATAAGTAACACGTTTCACTATTAGATTTTAGTATGTTTTAGCAATTTTCCTTAAAGTTGGAACACGCTTTTCTCAATTATTACTGGACACAGAAAGGTGAAAAAAAATCAACGGTTACAAAAAAAAAAAACTCTTTTAATTGATGGGCGTAAAAAGTTTGGTTATAATAAAACGTTAAACAGTATAATCCAATTTTTCAACAAAAGTTTCAAAAAAATAAAAAAAGTAAAACCATAATTTTAAAGGTAACATAATTTGGAATAACGTGTCCCAATTTCGAGACTTTTGTCGATAAATAACATAGAAAATACTGTCACTAGGTTTTGGTGCACCGATAAATCAGCCTTAATTGATGTAGTCGTGGATAATAATATATGATTATCAATGTAGACGAAGGTTCAGACAGCGAAGATTTTCAATCAAATGCTGACAGCGAAAACAGCGATTTTGATGTATATTTTTATAAGTTTTTACCACTACCGTTGAAAATAATTTATTTTACCTAAATAGCTTATTATTAGATTTCTAATTTAATAGACTTTTGTTTTTTTTTTAAATAATAATGACGAATACTTCACCTAATAACATATTTTATCAATTATCTAATTTTACAGTTCAAAAACAAACCTCTAAAATAATAATCGATTAGACAACTCCGCATAAATGACCCTCTCTATCGCTTCTCTTGTTCGCAGTTTCAGATAAATATATTCTACTGTAATTGGTTTATGGTGTTAGAAGTGAACTGGAAGAGTTCATATAATACATACGTAAATTCCCAATTTTCAAGCAATTACATTACAGTTTTTGGGGCTATTAGAAACAAAACATTCATATAGTTTTGACAGCTCATCTATTGATATATCTATGCATAGCTCATTATCTACTCTTTTTAAGAATATAGGCGCTATTCTAACCATATACATTTATCCCTGTGTTCCGCTTGTCTTCCAGATTGGACCCGCAGTGCTTAATATTGCCACATTTCATTCTTGATGTGTGAAGGATATGAATCAAGGTGATGAACATGTCGTGTTTGTCCCTTTGATCCTGTTCAGGCTTTGTTATTGTTTGACTGAGGGCATTGAGAAACGGTGCTTGATGTTTTTTGAATGGCTGACTTTGCTTTAAATTTAAAACAATCGAGACATTTGTTAATTATTCTTTTAGTTTTTTTAAGATCAATTAGACACCAATATCTCAAACGAAAATTAGAAGGTGTATTTTGAGGGCCTCCATGACATAATCTTATGTTCTCTATGCAGCATTAATTTCACTATGATTATGAGAGGGTTTAAGTAATGGGTACTTTTGTTCATATGGGACATCTGAGTGTCTTAGACGACCACCTACACGAATCATTTGCTGATTATCTATGAAGGAGTTAAGTTTTAAAATTGTCTTATTTGAGATTATTTCCTTATTTTTAAGACCAGAAAATTCTCGAAAAAGGTGAGCCTTTTAAAAAAGTTTTATTATTAAATTTTCAGCCTTTTTAATACTGAAATAGGGGTCCAACATATTTTTCATTTGGAAACTTGAAATTGTGAATGTACCTGAGCATAAGTGCGATACTGCGTTGTAATTTTGAGAAATTTGAAAATTTGAGAGATAAATTTTCATTTATCTTTTCCATTTTCTTTTCCTCGGGTATTTTACTTACCTTTGATTTTGAATCATACTTAGATAAATCTAAGTCATAATTAAGTAGAAATGAGGGACCTTGAAACCAAAATTTTGAGTTAACAAGTTCAGGAACTGACAAGCCTTTTGACACAATCTTGAAAAAAGGTCAACTTAACGGTTATGCAATCTTTCTTCTAGAGACGAGTTCATTTTTTATCTGGGTTGGGATAGGTACCGGCATCTTACATTTCTTGAAACCATTATTCTTTCTTCTTATGTCTCTATGGCGAGTGATTCTCTTCTTTTTGAGACTTTTGATAGATATATCTCCGCACTCTTTGTAGTTGGATTCTTTACAGTGAACGTTGAATGATGAGGATTCTTGTGTGGAGCAAATACAGCTCCAGAGAAATAATAACACTCGTGAATTTAGCGGTTTAGAATTAATATTTTTAGAGTAGAAAGGCCTTATGCGGCCGTACGTTACTATACAATTTCAAATACACTTTCTTTTATCAAATATATGAAAATACCGGTTCGGGAGATACCCGATTTCGGCGAGCGAAGTACTTGATACGTGAGTTGATAATTTACTACTGTCGTGGTGTGAAATAATTTAACAGCCGGACGCAAGAAGGCGGGGTGTTGCGGAGAAAACTTGACCAAATGACTATTCTACACTAAGAAAAGTCTAAAGATTTATAGATAACTTTAAGTATAAGTAATTACATTTTTATTATTTTGTATTTTAAACTAATGTTCGTTTCTGAAACACTGTCTGTTTAGCAATTAGTACGATGACGGTGCTTTTTCAGAATGAGAGAGAGAGAAAACGAAAATTACATCATATACAAAAACTTGTATTAGTAGTATATTTTAAGAAATAGTTGCAGCTATTTATTCGGGAAGACAGGTATCATTGTGCAATGAGATTAAGAAACCACAAAAACCAATCTCTCCCTGACCAGGGAAGGATATGCGAATCTTATACAGTGCGTTAAGTTTTGGATTAGGTATACACTCTATAAATGGCAACACTGCGCGTCTTCGACTTGCACTACATATCTGCTTCGTTGACTCGTCGTTGCACGTCGCCGGTCGGCAAATTTGTCATATTGTCATTATACCGTGGTTGTTTAAAGGTATAACAGCGTAGAGTTTTAGTTTATTTTTGTAAACATGTCTGTTTATATGGCCGCGGAAAAAGCTCAAATAATAAAATGGTTTTATAGTGGCAATTCTGCGCAACAGTGTGTAGATTTATTTTCTGTGTTTTTTGAGGGAAGACCAATTCCTTGTGTACAGTCAATTTATAATATTGTTAAAAATGTTGAGAGCTGTTATTGCCTCAAAAATGTCACGCTCGAGAAGTGTTACCAGAAAAAGTTGAGGAAAGAGAATACCGGGATACACAAATGTGTGCAAAAATCGAGGTAGATTCAACACGTTCAAGTAGAAGCGTTGCTAGAGAGTTAGATGTTAGCAATGTTACTGTAACGAAAGTATGGAAAAAGCACGGTTACAAGAATTTTAAATATTCGAAAACGCAGCAGCTTTATCCAGACGATTACTTTCGAAGAATGGAGTTTTGTGAAACTCTAATAACGAAGGCTAATAGTGAACCAAATTTTATTAAAAACATTTTATTCACTGATGAATCTTCTGTTTCGTTAGTAGGGAGACACAATCCTTCCATTACGAGGTATTGGGCGCGGGAAAACCAGCACAGAAGTGTTGTTTACCGAACTCAACGTCCTCAAAAAGTTAACGTCTGGACTGGCATTTTAGGAGACCACATAATAGGTCCATTTTTTATTGAGGGCAACTTGAATAGTAGAGTATACCTCGATTTTTTACAGAATCATGTTCTTCCCGCTATTCTCAATCTTCCTGATGTAAATCTGGAGAATGTTTGGTTTCATCAAGACGGCTGTTCAGTTCACAACGCTCGAATTATTAGGGAGTATTTAAACAATACTTTCCCGAATGGAGTTATCAGTGAAACAGGCGATATTAAGTGGCCTGCGCGATCTCCAGATCTTACACCCATGGACTTCTTTTTTTGGGGACATTTAAAAAGCATTATCTACGCTCATCCTGAGGCTAGAGCCCAAAATTTGGATGAATTAAAAAATCGAATAAAAGAAGTCTCCAATTCTGTTACAGCAGAAACTCTTTCATCTGTTCGCAGAAGTTTTTATGACAGATTGGGGTACTGTTCAGCCGTAGAAGGTCAACTATTTGAACCATTTCTGTAGGTCATAAAGAATTATTTTTTATTTTATTAGGAATAATATTTTAATTTTCAATAAGAGTATATTTTTTATTTTATCTTTTTAAAGAAATACGCTTTTATTTTTAATTCAACCACAAAAAAAAATCACATTAATAAAAATCGATAATAATGCACCGATTAGTTCAGTGCATTTTTATCGAATTTCCTTATTAAAATCGGCTTTACGTAATGAAACATGAGATCGGACGACAGAGAAGTACATCCCTATCGTTGTTGTGAGTTACTAAACTAAAATAAATGATTTTCTGTCGGTGTAGATTTTCGGGTCGGAGAACGAACATTTGCAACGTTGCCGATTTTAGCGCTCCGTATAGTGTGCAATACCTAATCAAAAACTTAACGCACTGTATACGTATTATATTACTGTTTATAATTCTCTTGATATATTCCGTTGCACTATTAAAGAAAATTTATTTTATTGATTAAGTAATATTTAACGCAAATTCAGATTTAAAAAATTTCAGAAAAAGGAGTTTGTGATGAGACTTACCCCATTGAAGTAATGCTTATTCCTCCTGGTCCAGTAATATGCTAAAGCAACAATTACGCCGAAAGCTACCAGACCGACGCTAATCCAAATACCATAGTAGAAATTATAGCCCGAAGCTTCATGCATTGGCACTGATGCTATAATTAAAAAAATAATTAATAATTTTATTTTATACCTTTTATGTTTCATTAATTTAACTAGTTAGGCTGGCCGCACACAGAAAGAGCAAAACTGTTTTAGTCAAAAACGTTTTTGTTTGAAACGAAAACGTTTTTGTTTCCACAAGAAACATTTTGTTTTCAAGAGAAACAAAATGTTTGCACATACCATACTGCAATCAATTTTATTAAAGATGTCGACAGATAACGACGAAATTGCACTAGTTTTCTGGCAGTGGTTCCACCTATAAGACGAAAAAACAAAATATCGCTGTTTCCACATGTGCTCCTTGTTGACTATTCGAGCGGTTTCAAGGGTGGCCGCACACAGAAAGAGCAAAACTGTTTTAGTGAAAAACGTTTTTGACTAAACGAGTTTGATGCTGATGTTTCCATATAAATGAAATGAGCTGACGCACACTGATTAGTCGTGTGTCTAAAGCATGTTTAGGCTCAGTTAGTTTCAGTCAGTCAGTTAGTCAGTTAGTTTCAGTCAGTTTGATGTTGATTACCTGATCTTCGTTTTGTCTTGAAACATTTCAATGTACGCAGGCGCAACGTGTTTTTGGCATTCCCTTCTTAAAACCGCTCGAATAGTCAACAAGGAGCACATGTGGAAACAGCGATATTTTGTTTTTTCGTCTTGTAGGAGAAACCACTGCCAGAAAACTAGTGCAATTTAGAAGTTATCTGTCGACATCTTTAATAAAATTGATTGCAGTATGGTTTGTGCAAACATTTTGTTTCTCTTGAAAACAAAATGTTTCTTGTGGAAACAAAAACGTTTTCGTTTCAAACAAAAACGTTTTTGACTAAAACAGTTTTGCTCTTTCTGTGTGCGGCCACCCCAAGAAGGGGATTCCAAAAACACGTTGCGCCTGCGTACATTGAAATGTTTCGAGACAAAACGACGATCAGGTAATCAACATCAAACAGACTGACTGAAACTAAATGAGCCTAAACATGCTTTAGACGCACGACTAATCAGTGTGCGTCAGCTCATTTCATTTATATGTAAACATCAGCATCAAACTCGTTTAGTCAAAAACGTTTTTGACTAAAACAGATTTGCTCTTTCTGTGTGCGGCCACCCTTATGAAAAACGAGAAAAATTAAATGTTTTTTAAGCATTACGCTCATAGCTTGCTGGACGTTCTCTACGCGGCTTTGAATAATTTAATTGAGGTGCATCTTTACCTTGGAAATAATAAAAAGTCACAGTGGGAGATATCTAGGCTATAGTATGGGTGGACAATGTTGTAATGCCTTTATTCGCCATGTACACTGAACAACCAATGAGTTGTAGCATTATTGTTTTGCAAGATCCTGTCATCCTTAGTGAGTTATGGCCGAACACCGAAACTTCGTACTCGCTGATTTTGTTTTTGGGACCCGGATCATATTTTATCTCCAGTGATTATTCGACCCAGTGATCCAGTGATTATTATACAGTAGTCTCTCTCTATAACGATTCCCTATATAACGATAATTCCTCTATAACGATGAAAATAGTAAACGTTGGTTGGTTCATCATAAGAACAATGTATTAATTCTTTCTCTTTACAGATATCGTTCTCTCTTTATAGCGATAACTTTTTAACGTTCAATAGTTGATGACAAATCAGATGTGTTATTGTGTTTAAAGTTCAGACTACCTGAGTCACGAATGAAAAGGTCATTGTCCAGCGGTTGTTTTGTTTTGCGCTTAAGGAATGCGGCCTATACTCTTTCTTATCAGAGGGTTAAGTGGCTTAAAGCGGAGATAGAGGGCGGTAGCAGAAAGAAGTTGCGGAAACCTCAGCACGAAGATTTAGATCGCGCTATGCTTCAGTGGTTCCAGCAGCAGCGTATGAACCATATTCCACTTTCTGGGCCTGTGGTCAGGACAAAAGCTAAATTTTTTGCAACTGAACTTGGAATTGAGAATTTTAAGGCATCTGAGGGTTGGCTAAGCAAGTGGAAGATGCGGCACAAGATCAACTACGGGCAAATCAGCGGAGAGGCTCGCGATGTTAACAAAAACGTAACGGATCATTGGCTAGAAAACGTGTGGCCTAAAACACTGAAAACACCCAATAGAACTTTAAAATTTAAATTGGAAAAGTGCGTTGGTGGAAAGCTCTCTAAGGAACTCATTACAGTTTTAGTAGCCGCTAACATGACAGGTTCGGTGAAGCGAAAATTGTTAGTGATAGGGAAGTCGAAAAACCCGCGTTGCTTTAAAAACATAAAAAATCTACCGGTGACATATAAGGCAAACAAGAGTGCGTGGATGACCTCGGAAATTTTTGAAGAAGCGATAAGAAAGTGGGATATTGAGCTTAAAGGGAAAAAAATTCTTTTGCTTGTAGACAAAGTAAAAAAGCTCAAGTAAAAAAATTGTCCTGCTCATCCTGTATTGCCCGACCTTCAAAACATCGAACTCTGTTTTCTGCCAGCAAACACAATGAGTGTCCTTCAGCCCATGGACCAAAGTGTCATCAAGAGTTTAAAAAACCATTACAGGAGAAGACTTTTGATGGAATTGGTTGAGAAACGATTGCGATCTTAAACTAAACATTCTTGACGCCATCCTAATGATTAGTAAATCCTGGGACGAGGTGACGAGCAATACAATATAACATTCCTTCAAACACGCAGGATGGCTTGAAGATCAAGGATTGACTTATGATGAAGATGACCTGCCATTAAATGTTTGGGCCAGACAGTTTGAACTTACTATCACCTACGGACCGGAAGAGCTAACAGATTTTGAAGAAGTTGATAAAAATGTAGCTACAACATATGGACTTTCTGACGAGGACATCCTGCAAGCAGTTCGTGTAGAAGAAGAAGAAGAAAACAGTGACTCTGAAGTGGAAGCAGTGCCAGAACCAGCTCCGACCCCTCAGCAGGCATTGGATGCGGCAAAAGTACTGCATCGATTTTTCATCCACCAGGAAGACGATATGAGTGCTGCGGAAGATTTGATGCGTCTTCAGGACAAGGTCAGGTCAGTTCTGTGGAAAGGGAAAAGAAGACAGACCAAGGTGACAGATGTTTTTGATAATGTAGGCTAAATATATTTTACAGTAGCATTCTATTTTTTTTATTGTACAGTACACATGTTCTAATTGTACAGTCATTTTTTATACTGTATTGCTTATATTATTCGTTAATAAATCTATGTGGAATACAATGCTAATTGATTTAGATTCGTTTTGATAATTCTTTAAATTAAAATAATTTATTTAGTACAGTATTATTAATATTACAGTACCGAATTTTGTCTCTCTCTGTATAACGATCTCTCCTTATAACGATGAAAATTCCCGGTCCCTTGCATATCGTTATAGAGAAAGAGGACTGTAGTTATGTACAATCTTTATAAAGAAAAATGCTCAATATAAGTCCAGTATCGGAAGCAATGTACCGAAATGTATTCCATTGTGATTTTAATCTACACTTTCATAGTCCATCTAAAGAAACATGTGTGAAGTGTGATACATTTAAGGCAAAAACAAGTCAAGCTAATGACAAGGAATTGACTATTGTAAATACAGGAAAAATGTACTGTTTTACGTTCGACCTAGAAAAGGCTTTACCTTTTCCGACAATAACCTGTTCCATTGCGTATTATAAAAGAAACATGTACGTATACAATTTAGGGATACACATATTGGCCGAAAAAGAAAAGTCTTTTATGTATGTTTGGGATGAAATCACTGCTTCCAGGGGATCACAAGAAATCGGATCATGCATACGAAAGCATATTATGACAAATGCAAATGCAGTAAAGCATATTATTGCTTACAGCGATGCTTGCGGCGGTCAGAACAGCAACTTCAAGCAGTGTTTGTTCTGGTTAAATTATTACTGGCAGATACAGATAAAGAAGTAATAGATCATAAGTTTATGGTGTCGGGCCATTCATTTTTACCAAATGATCGAGATTTCGGTCAAATTGAACAGTATGCCAAAAATCGTTTAAAATATACGCCTGAAGACTGGTATGCAACAATAAGAAAATGTAGGACAAAAAATCCTTTTTCGGTGTACGAAATGAAAAAAGAAGATATTTTCTCCATAGCAGCAGTGGAAAACTCCGTAACACGCTGAAAGAAAAATGAAAATGATTGTACAGTATCTTGGTTGAACATCCAGTGGCTGCATTTTGAGAAAGATCAACCGTACAAAATATTTTATAAGACCACTTTGAATGAAGAATTCAGTTTTGAAACAATTAAAATTTTTCCACAAAACAATAAAAAAAGGGGCCCCTAAGCTAATGAAAAATATGCAACTTACACCACTGTACTCTGCTCCATTGAAAATTAGCGCCAATAAAAAAAGGATATGGTGGATTTACTCCTGTTCATACCACCCTATCAACAGGAGTATTTTAAGAATATTTTGGAAGACCCGTCCATTGAAGATATTGGACCCTTGGGAAAGGAAGAACTTACATAATTTTATAATTTTTTGCTAATAGAATATTAGTTTAAGCTGTAGTTACTTTTATTAGTGTTGAGAAACAAATGGGTCTATCACAAATTATTAAAAAACCAAAAGTAAAATTAAAATATCATGCTAATTTTACACCAAAATCTAAGTTAATATGTTTGTAAACTACATCGAATAAAAAATTATAATAACACGTCTCAGAATTTTTCAGTAGCATCTAAATTTTAAGGCTTTGTATCTCACAATATGCTTGGAGTGACTTGTACCACTCTGGCTTTCAACGGCTCAAATATAAAGTATCAAATTTTCTTGTGGCATTGTAAATTAATTACTATTTATAACTGGGAATAAGCCACAATTAAAGATAAAAATACGTTTATTGACGTTTCAATTTCCAATTCGGAAATCGTTCTCAAAATACAAACAGTAAATTGTTTGTATTTTGAGAACGATTTCCGAATTGGAAATTGAAACGTCAATAAACGTATTTTTATCTTTAATTGTGGCTTATTCCCAGTTATAAATAGTAATTAATAAAGTATCAAGTTACAAAGCAGTATTTATTATAACAGACTATAACAGTACTTACTACTTGGTGGGGCAGCTTCAGTTGGTCTAGGTTCCCAAGTAAAGTTTCGATTACACATGTGTCCCTCGCAGCAGCAGAAGAGCAGGTTATTTTTTGGAGCTACAGAAGTAGCTACACATCTTGTCTGGTTGACACAATCAGCTCCATTTACGAAACAACCCTAAGAAAATAAAAATTAGCTAACTATGTATGCCCAGATCATAAATAAGAAATATTTTTAAAAAGTATTTCATGATAATTTTCCTTGTATTTTTGTGTCTATGTTATTTAATTTGAAATACAATTGACTCTCGATAATACGGCACTTTTTAATTTGAATCTCAATAATTTGAAGTTTTTCCCAATTCCTTGAAAAATAATCCATAAATGTAATAAAATCAATATTGTTATGTGACTGTAAGATCCTGTAATATCTCGAAAATTTTACCTGGCGTTCTATTAATGCATATCTTAAACAGATGTATGTATAGCCTCCACAACACTATTAAATCCAAGAGCCTAACACGAACATCAAAAATCAGGATATATAAAACAGTAATTAGACCGGTGCTCATGTATGGGTGTGAGACGTGGACGCTGACAAAAGCAATGGAAAGTAAACTCAGATGCTTTGAGAGAAAAATCTTCAGAAAGATCTTCGGTCCCTATCACTTTCCGAATACTAACCAATACCGAATGAGAACAAATGTCGAGGTCAAAAAAATGTATAGTGCTAGCAACGTAGTCCAAGAGATTAAATCCCAACGTCTAAGATGGGCTGGCCATGTTTATAGGCTCCCTAATAACCGCCTTACCAAGTTAATCTGGGAAGAAGTCCCGACAGGGAGAAGGCCCTTAGAACCTCCACGAATGCGATGGAGAGATAATATATGGTCAGATTTGAGAACAATGGGGCTACCCACTGACTTAAACATCATGGACGACCGTTCGAGATGGAAGCAGGTTGTGCAGTCAGCCAAGACCCACCCCGGGATGTAGTGCTACCAGAAGAAGAAGAAGAAGTTCTATTAATGGTTTATTCGCGATATCTTGCTGGAATTTCGTGTTTCGAAGTGCTGACTCGACGTTCATCACTTCGCTAGCGATATCAAGAACATCTGTTCGTGTATAAAAACAGCTGCGGCGTCACTTTGAGGACAGTTTACAAGCGATTAGCGAAGTGTTTATCTTGTAAAGTGATATACGAGACATTTGGTATTTATACAGTAAGTTAGTTGTTTTTTTTTTGTATTTGTTTAAATAAAATTAGTTTAACTACGTGTATTTCACTTAATCCTGAACCAACAGAAAAACGTAACAATATTAATTCTCGGTAATTTGAAGTTGAATGAATGATGTGTTATTCAATAATTCCGACATTCAAAATTTGAAGTTGGAGGTTCCCTACTCCGTACAATTTGAACTGTAGTTTGTTTGTTTACATACATGTAAATAAACTTGTACAGACCTGTCGATTGTTTACATTAATGAGATATCGCCCTCTATAATTTGGACTGTCTTTTGTTTACGTACATGTAAAGACCTATCGATTGTTTGCATTAATGAGATGAGTGAGTTCGCTGTCGCAGTCTAGTCTTCTTTCAACTTTTCAACTTTAAAGTGAGTTTCCTAGGATACTAACGTTTCTTCAACATAAGTAAACACTAATCACATACTGACTCATTTAGGTCTACTATTTTATTTTTATTTAAAATATTAAAACAAAATGGATTAGTTTCAGAAAATTATATTTTTAGAAACGATACAAATAAAAAAAAGCATTGAAATATTAATATAAACATGCCGACCTTCATGGCTTTTAAAAGAATTCGATCAATTCGAGCGTTAAGTAATCCCTGCGCATCAAGACACTTTTCAAATTAATGACCGAGATCCGAGTCATGCATCCGACTGGTGAACTCTTATACAGACCCGTTTCGGCAAGCCGATCCCAAGCTTGACGATTTACATGTAAAAATCAAGGAAATATTAGTCGATAGCCAACCAAATATACATTTCTCTTCGTACGATTTTAAACGGTAGGTACGGCAGAATTGAATTTGCCGATGCTTCATTGGTATTTACTGCAAATGAAATGTTATTTCGGGATAAGTACTTAAGTAGTGAAGTGATACTGAACTGACTAGCTTTCCTGAGAGCGTATCGATCGATTCATTTTGTATTCTTCTTCTTCACGTGCCATCTCCGCTACGAAGGTTGGCTATCATCATGGCCATTTTGACTCTGGAGGCTGCCGCTCGGAACAAGTGTATGGAAGTGCAAGCAAACCACTCCCTGAGGTTTCACAACCTTGACATTCTTCTCCTACCTATGCTGCGCCTACCTTCAATCTTTCCTTGCATAATTAGTTGTAACAGTTGATATTTATTCCCACGTGTAATATGTCCCAGGTATTGTAGTTTCCTCATTTTAACACTCAATACGACCTCCTTTTGTTTGTTCATCCTGTCTAAAACAACTTGGTTAGTTATCTTATCCTTCCAGGAGATTTTTAACATTCTTCGGTACGCCCACATCTCAAATGCCTCCAGCTTACCCATACATTGCTTATTTAGTGTCCACGCCTCCACCCCATATAACAGGACCGAGAAAACATAACATTTAAGCATTCGTATTTTCAGCTTTAGGCTTAGGTTACGGCTACACAACATTTGTTTCATATTGTTAAAGGCACTGCGGGCTTTCTCTATTCTTATTCTTATTTCTCTGGTGTATTCGTTTGACTCGTTAATATTTGTTCCGAGGTAATTGTAATTTTGTACTCGTTCAATGAGATTCTGTCCTACATGTAAGTTGATATTATTGATACGTTTCTTTATAATTATCGTGAATTTGGTCTTCTTTGTATTCAGTGACAGACCAAATTCTTCACTTGCTTCTACCACTTTGTTTAGTAATCTCTGTAGGTCGTCAATATTTTCTGCTATGAGCGCGGTATCATCAGCATATCGGATATTGCAAATGGGGTGACCGTTGATCTTTACTCCGGCTTTTTCGTTCATAAGAGCTTTTTTAATAACTTCTTCCGCGTAGACAATGAACAAGGTTGGAGACAACACACAGCCCTGCCGAACACCTCTTTTGATCTGTATTCTATCTGATATCGAGCTGTTAATTCGTACTGTAGCTTCTTGTTTGTAGTATAGATTCCTTATCACTCGCATGTCCCTTGTATCAATATTTTTATTTTCCAGTATTTGCATGAGTTTTCTATGTTTTACTGTATCAAATGCTTTGTTATAGTCTAGGAAGCACACAAATATGTCCTGATTTACGTCTAAGCATCGTTGTGTTAGAACATTAAAAGCAAACAGTGCCTCTCTAGTTCCTAGTCCGTCTCTAAAGCCAAATTGAGAGGGTCCGATGTCAACTTCCAATTTTTTATATATTCTCTGATGAATGATTTTTAAGAAGACCTTTAATATATAACACATGAGACTGATGGTGCGATGTTCCGAGCATTGTCTCGCATTAGACTTTTTGGGTATGGCTATTATTGTTGTTACTAGCCATTCATTAGGTATGATACCAGATTTGTAAATGCTGTTAAATAGTTCCACGATCTTTATTAAGTTGTTGCCTTTGATGAGTGCTATTGGAGTGAGATGAGTGAACTATTGGTAGTTCATCTGGGCCTGTAGCCTTCCCTTCCCCGACCTCATTTCTTTAATCGTGTATTCCACTTCATCTCTTGTTATTTCTGGTCCTGTGTCACTGTTTATGTATTCGTTATCTACATTGTCTCTTTGATCTTTAAACAGTATTGACAGTACATTCTGTATTGATTTGTTTTAATTTTTTACTACTTTACTACTTTAATTTTTTAAGAAATTCTGTGATAAGTTATCATTGCCGTAAATAGTTAAAGGATTTTTTGATATATTTGAAGTTTTTTTCTTTTTTAAAATGAAAGTGTAAACAAATTCAGGTAAATTAACCTAAAAATGCAAGATATGGGGAAAACTGTAGGCACTGATAAATCTGATATTGTAAATTATATTTCGCAAAATGAGTTTTTATCTATACCATAAAAAGAATAAATCGATATTAAAAATAAGGGGCATCATTTGTCTAAATGTCCCGGCTTATAAATATTAGTGCGGGGGATAAGGAAAGTAATAGATTATTTTATAATAGGTATGGCTTACCGAGAGTGAAATAAAAAACACACTTTTCTGTTGGCCTTGCATCTTATTTTCGGCAAATAGGACAAACATCTTATGTTATAGAACTTCATATTTGTTTTATGCTTGATGTTTCCAGAAAAATGGAAAGTGTAAGAACTTTTGCATAGGTTTATAGGAAAATAAAGTCATGTTTTTATCGACCATAAAGTTTCTTAAACCGAATTGCCAAGATTTGATATCCAGTAATTCAGGAAATATTTCTCCTTCATTCGATCGGAGTGTTCTTATCATTGTAAAATTGTAAAGAAAAAATAATTTATTCACAAGAGGATTGTTACTTGACCGACTCCCCTACTAACTAAAAGGGTTGGATTTACGGCTTTCAGTTTTTATTCTACAATAAGTAATGGAAATAAAATACCTGGAAATTGTACTGTCTAGCTATGAAGTCCTGGACAAAGAAGTAAGAGATAAAGTACAAAAAACAAATAGACTGGCAGGATGCCTTAACTCGTTCACAGCTGCTGGCTCTTATAAGAGCCAACACCGCACATTCACCAGTGCCGACTCTTAAAAGGGCCGCTGTTAAATACTGTTATTATGCGAAAAATGATTTGGCTCTTTGCTAAAACCAACTGAAAATTGGTGGCAGTGAACGAGTTAATACCACTATATGGCGAAACAGACACATTAATTGTTTCCTTTCTCATTCCTGGTTATTTGAACTACTGTTAATTTGAACCCTTGGTAATTTGAACATTTTCTCTAGTTTCCTGAGTTTCAAATTATCGAGAGTCGACTGAAGTTAAAACTAATAAAACTATACTGTACCTTTAAAGAAACATTAACTGTTCCATTTTCTGTAATGGACCACAAAACATAACAATGATGTTTCTGGTCATCGACAGGACATATTTCTTCAGCTACACCAGCATCTGCAGGCTTGTCTTTGAAAGTATTATTATAATACTCACAATGTAAGGCAGATGAGGAATTCGGTATAACAGCTGCTTTTACCAAAACCAATTCTAAAACAAATATTTTAAAAAAAATTAATTTTAACTAAATCAATCATCTGAATAAATACTTTGTTAATAATTCGTATTTGTATCTATAGCTATTTGCAATTGTATTTATTTATGTATTCCAGGAGAAGCTCGAATGTAGTCTAGTGAAACATTAAAAAGTCAAATTGGTTGCTGAAAAACAAGGCCCAACATAAACAAGTCGTAAGTATCGCAAGTAAATAATCATTAGAAATTGACCTAGATAAATTGCACTAAAAAGGAAATTAAAAAAAAAACTATACAAATATCCCTTAAAAATAATAGACCTTTATTGATTTATTTCGCAGTGTTTTAAAATTTTATAATAGTACATTGTTTTCAGGATTTTTAGGCCGTAGTCTAGAAATACAGGGTGTCTTTGGAGCTCTTTGAAGAGCTCTAGTACTAATGTTAATTGTAATTGTAATAGTAATTGCTGTTCAAACCACTTTTCAAACAAAGTACTGTCCATATTTTGATGATGATATATATCTCTTCCCTATAGAACATTGGTGACGCAATTTTTACTACCATCGATCCAACATTTTTTATCAATCAATCAACATAATTGTCCATTTATTCACTGTTTTTAACATAAAACCATTAGATTTTAAAAACCTAAAAACTAAAAAAAGTAGTTTTATGACACTCAGGGATTATTTCTTTGTTTGTTAATTCACTCAAAAGTTTATTTTAAGTTGGTAACTTATTCACTTAATACATTTGATATATTGTTTCCCGTATAGCTGATAAATAAAAATTCGATAATACTTGATGGGCACCAGAATCCTTTATTTTTTTCGCAACACTGGACCGTCTTTTATAAGTTCGTACACAGTGGCACTTGTGTCCAAAGAAACCGTCTTTTTGATCGCTTCTGATTTAACCATCGTCGAAAGAAGACCTAAGAAAAATTATGTAATTTTACTTTTTAAGGAATTCTGCTCGAAGTTCTGTGTTTTTTATGAATTAATTAATCGGTAAATATGATTAACCTTCCTAATACCGGGTAGGGCGAATTCTCGTCCCAGGTCTACAGTTTTTATTATTATCTGCAATTAAGTTTAATCAATAGATATTATTTGGGCAGAGATAAAGTGACTAAATGGGCTAAGAAGGTAGAAGTACGATCGGTTCGCACTAGAGCCGAAAATATAATTTCTCAATTGCCTGGCGTGAAACGACACGCTAAAGAAGCTAAAACTGCAATTGATTGTTGGAAGCTTTTCATGGATGACACACTCATTGCTGATATTGTAAAACATACTAATGAGAAAATCAATTCAGTAAGTGAATGTTACAACGATGGGCACCAATACGTAGTAAAAGAGACCTCCGAGCAAGAAATCAAGGCTGTCGTTGGATTACTTTATTTGGCAGGAATTCATCGATCGTCTCGGCGAAACCTTCGGCGAAGATTTCTGGGCAAACGACGGCACAGAAATGCCAATATTTAAGAAAACTATGTCTCTAAAACGCTTTCAATTTCAGCTAAGGTGCTTGCGGTTTGACAATGGAGCTACGCGCGTAGATAGAATCAAAATCGATAAATTAGCCCCAATTAGAAGTGTTTTTGAAAGAGTAGTTGACAATTTTCAGTCTGCCTATACACCTGGCATGTATCTCACTATTAATGAAAAATTGAAGGCATTTCGTGGCAGGTGCCCTTTTCGGCAATACATTCCGAATAAACCGGCTCGTTATGGAATCAAAATATTTGGTTTAGTCGATTCAAGATGTTATTATACTACAAACTTGGAAATTTATTGTGGTTCTCAACCGGATGGTCCTTTCAAACTGAGTACAAAGCAGCCTATAGATGTAGTTTTAAGATTGATTTCACCAGTGTCTGGCAGCAAACGAAATATCACATTCGATAATTGGTTCACTAATTATCCATTAATGCAACAACTTCTTGAAGAACACCAGTTAACATATGTGGGTACTGTCCGAAAGAATAAGAAGCAAATTCCTTCCACAATGGTCAATACAAAGAATCGAGAACAGGAATTCTACACTTTTTGGTTTCCAAAAAAATACAACCTTAGTATCCTATATCCCAAAGAAAAACAAAAATGTTCTTTTGTTATCAACACTACACCATGATGACACAATAGACGAATCTACGGGAAACGCTAGGAAGCCAGAAATAATCACATTCTACAATGTTACTAAGGGAGGGGTTGACACAGTTGACCAGTTATCAGGTACATACACGTTTCCCGTAACAGCAGAAGGTCGTTGACGGTGTTCTATGCGCTTTTGAATATGTGTGGAATTAACTCCCAAGTAATCTATAAGATCAACAATAATTACTATACACTGAAGCGTCGAAAATATTAGAAATCTCTTAGTTTGTCACTCATAGCAGATTATATGGAAGAAAGGCAACACAATCCTCGGTTGCTGAGAAAACTGCGTGAGACACCGGGCTATAAGACTGCAGATTGTGATGAACCGTTGCCTAAACGTCAGAAAGTACAAGATAGATGTGTGGTGTGCCCCAGAACAAGAGACAGAAAAAGTCGCTACGTGTGTTATGATTGCAGGCATTTTGTTTGTTTAGAACATGCATGTTTCAAATGTGATACTTGCATCAACGAGGAAAGTTAGTAAATGATGTTGTTAATTGTGTTGATGTCCGTATTTTTCTTTATAATGTTTATTAATTTATAAGTAAATAAAGAAAAATGTATTTTTAGAAGTCTTTAGTTTTTTTTTCATTTCAGAAAAATGTAATGGTTTTAAGCTGCTATTTCTGCTATTTTTGAACTGTGCAATAAATTTTTTGAGCTGATACTTTTTCAATTTGTTTATAGTACACACTATTTCAAATGTTCAAATGAAATGTATATACTTTTAATGCAGATACTCAAATATTGAGTTTTCCAAGACGTATTCTGCTATGGGGTATGTCACACCCCACCACACCATGCACGTAAGTTTCAGGCACCACACCAACGCAGGGTTAAGGTGCCTATTAATTTAACTTTCACAGTGTATCCTACCGACTTAAAGTAGGTAAAGTACTAGAGAAAAACAACAGATCAAAAATAGATTGATAAATGAAAATAATAATTCGATAACAGTTTGAACAACAAGAAACACTGAATAGATCTAAATTGCAAAATAAAATGGGCGCCAGTAAGTTTTAAAGATATCAAGGTAAAGGCAAAAAACAGGTCAGAAAAAAATATCAAAGAAAATTATAAAAATCGGCATATTTACTTCTGCAATAAATACTTCGAAATAGTTCTATTATATAATAATATAAAATAATAAGTTTCAGAAATATTTTTATTAATTATATTTCCGTTCTTTAATTTTTTTCATGAAGCAACTTCTCTCTTTTAATAATAGTACTATTTTTGAATTTATAAGGCTTATCTATACTATTATATTTTACAAATCATCTTTGTGGTACCTGCCTACCTGCCGACAGAGTAAGGAAAAGTTGTGAGTTGTGACAAATTTTATATTATCCATTTTATCGGGTAGCACTTCAGTCAATGCATTAAAATGGCATCATCGATTCAATTTCTTGTTGCTAAACTTAAAAACGGCGAGTATTCTCTGAGAAAAAAACTATTATTTTAAATGTTCAAGACTCCCGTGTTCATCAACAACCTTTAACAATGGTTAATAATGTAGTAACTATATGCTCCGGTATGACAGATGTTAGAGAAACCATTTACAGATTTTTAAGTGACAGAAAACAAGGAAATATTACTGTGCCAAAAAGACATGAAGGAAAACAACCAATGGAAATTGTTGACTTTCATAGAAACCTCCTTTGCAGAAAAGTTCATTTGTTGTATTTAAACAAGGAGATTCCTATATTGAATACAATATTAAAGGCAATAAGAGATAATAATTTATCTTTAGCTGAGATAAGTTATAATTTTTTGATCATACCGTTTCAAAAGTATGGGTAGATAAAAATATTACAAGTTCTTGACAAGCCTTTTTAGAAGATGATTCTACTGGTTTAAATGCTCCCGCAGGAAAGAGTTGATGATTAATAATCAGGCACATTGGTCACATACTTACATGATTTTGTGGAAAATTTGTTTATTTGGGTTAGTTTCAAAATCCACTAAAGATTACCATAAAGAAATGAACTCTGATGTTTTTAAAGATTAATTTTCTCAGGTATTGAATTTTCTACCAAATAATGCTGTTTTCCATAATGCCAGCTATCACTCAAAATTAGTGGAAAAGTTAGATAAAGAACAATCTTGAACTCATCACTAAACAAAACATTTTTCTAATCTTCTATAGTCCAATTCTCATGATATGTAGCAAACTTAAGTTGGCAATGTCAATGTTCTGCTGTTAACAAAAATCTTGTTGCTGGGCAACAAGCCCTTAGCCCAAATTCTCTCAACCTTTATTCCAGTGTAGAAGTAATTAAAGAGTGGTCTTCTCTGGCTGTCATGATTCTTCTCGCACCTGATTTGGGTTGTCATTTGTGAGATCTATTGGAACAGAATCTTTGGTATGTTTTTGGACCACATAACTGACACCAAACTGTCTGTCCACTTCTCTTTGACTCATTCCATTATTCATTATCAATGACAGTTACGCCATAGTTTTAAATTTAAAAATTGCACAAGTTCATTCTTTAAACAACTGTACATTAATGAAAGATTAAAAAAAAAACCGAACAGCCATATTCCACGAAAAACAATGTACAAACAACATGTGCATTTTCAGAAGTCATAAAACTGATATCAATTCTGCAAACTTATTACCCTCAATTGATTGTCAGCACCAGTGGCAGTGCCTAAAAGTGTTTCTGCATTGTGGGAGTTTAGTTACAATAGAATAAATTGCATAAACTTAAAATTATTGAAAAATTCTAGGTGATCTTTTTTTAATCTGTGTATAATTGACTGGCTCCAACACAAAGCAATACCATATGATCAGACTATGGTTAAAACAGAATTGGACCCCGTTATGCAACAAGGAACCAACCAACATTACCAGCCGTTAGATTTGTATAAAAGCTGTGGTGTGCTGACGGTATTAAATGAAGATAACTTTGTACGTCTCTCAACTTTGCGTCTGCAACTGGTTTTCCCTCAGGCCATAATGGTTCTAAAAACGTGTTGTACTGTGGTCCGGTTGAAGCTTGTCTTCCTGCTACTTTCCGTATATTAATTTCTTGGTAATCGTCATTGTCTAGGTAAGTCGTCTTCAAAAAAATATTATAAGGCTTATCTTTAAATAATTTAACTTCTTTGGTTCGTAACCAACTTATCTTCTCGTTCGTAATACTTTTTTTTCTGTTTGTGATTTGTTTTTCTAATTTTGAGGTACTGAGAAAATCTTCTTTTACCATCATATTTACATTAATAGGTCGCTTTTGTCTACAAGTTCTCATTATATTGCTGTATTCTTCAGGTGAAAATATATTATTTTGCTTTTTAAGAGCACATTCGACATCTCCAAAATCACTATCATTCGGCAGAAACATATGACCTGGAACAAGGAACCTCAGCCTAATAGTCTTTAAATGCTGTGATTCCTCCAAAAGACATTTTAACAAAAGTACTATTTTAATGTTTCTGTTTTGTCCACCGCAAGAGTCACTCCACAGAATAATATGCTGAACTTTATCGCTTATGTTAGCGAGAATGTATTTTCTTAGGCAAGATCCCACTTCTTGGGCTCCACGGCCTGCCTGTCCTTCTAGCCATAAATTAAATGTTGATTTTTTCTGTTTACCTGCATAAATTCCACAATTATATACCCATAACTGTCTTTTGTAAAATATAATATTTGAAGATATGCGAGGTAAAGGAAGCGTTTTTTCTAAATCGAAGGTCAGAGTTTCTGTTTGCTCGTCTTCTATTGCCTTGGCCAAGTCAATATTCATTTGTTTTCTTCCTAATTCTGCCTCTTCTACATGTAATTCGTGTTGTCTAACAATTTCCCGTTTTTCATCGTCGTTAATACTTTGTATCTTCACTTTAAATGCATCACATTTATTGCAAGTATCCTTTTTTGGCTTTTTTAGCCTCAAGTTAAAATCTCTCAAAAAAACTTTTTTAAAAGATGAAAAACTTACAGGTTTATCACTTTTTGGTTTGTAAAGATCATACATTATCGGTAAAGTAGTTCCTTCCTGCAAAAATTCTTGATCCATCTTCCGTGCTCTACAGTAATGGGATACATAGCGTGGAAATTGATTTATATGATTAAATATAATATTTTTTTCATCTGCTGAAATCTTGTTGTGTCCACCGCGAACACCTCGTTTGTCAAGTGTAGACAAATTTCTTACTTTTTGTAGAGCAGTATTTATACGTTTAGTTGACACTTGCAAAGTATTCGTATACATATTTCTACAAACTATAACCTTATTTATGAAATATTTCCTTGAGAACTGTCGTGTTGCAGGATTTATCGCATTTGAATTTTTTCTCTGAGCAAAATGTTCTCTAACGGATGTTGATATAAATGTTGTTTGTAGATTATAATCCGCTAAGTTCCAGTAATGTTCGAAAAACTGTTGGAGATCATCAGCAGAAAATTTTTCATGGCATCTTGCAGCACATGAGCACACAAATTTGATAAATGCTTTTGACTTAACAAGTTTTCCTCGAGCGGAGTAATACTCCATATTACTGTTCGTTTTCCTTTTTCTTTCCTTTCTGTCTTGTTCAGCATATTTTTTCTTTCTTCCTTTTTTTGGACGACCCGTGAAAGATACATCTGCAGTTAAATTAGTTTCTGCTTCATCATTAGGGTTCGAGTTATGGTCTGAAGGTTGTCCTAAACTTTCGTCGGATGAGACGTCGCTGTAGGTAGGTTGGAAATCTTTATCCTTGACGGAATCATCCGAGTCTTCGTCGTAACTGTTACCGTTAATAATCGATATATCATCATGTTTATGGGAATCACTATTGCTGTTACTTGGTCCCTGATTTTCTTTGCTGCTATTTTGCCAGTCCTGAAAAAGAATTTTGCAATAAGGAACCAACTTACATATTCGGAAAAAAATCAAAATTAAATAAAAAACTATAAATAAGCAGGACTGATTATGCTAAAAATTGGCAAATAACATGCTATTAAATAAAAATACCTAATAATATAGTCATAGGACAAAATTTTAGAGGTCTTTTAAGGTTAGAAGTAAAAAAAATATAAATTAATAAACCTACCTCTTGCAAATTGGAAATACAAGCTTCAGTGGAAGACGTTGGTATCAGCCTTACATTATTCATGATTTTTTGCACCCGTTGCGAAAGAAATCTCTCGCTTTGAAGCATTTTCAAAGTTATTTTTCTGGCACTCAACGATAATACACAGCTGGGAAAGTAAATCTGCAACATGGAACCAACTTTCGTAGGTTACAGATTTCTGCAACAAAGAACCAAAGTTACTTGGTTCGAATTAGAAACCTGTACAACCGAATTTACAAATTTGCAATATGGTTCTATCGTCCCCTAGATGTCGCCTATGTCCAAAATCAGTTGGTTCCTTGTTGCAAAACCTAAATAATATTATTTGGAGTCGGTGGGAATCAATAACTCGATTTTTGATAAAATGTTAGTTGGTTCCTTGTTGCATAACGGGGTCCAATTATTATGGATTGCAAAGCAACATAAATTGTACTATAAAAAATATGTCATTGATGAAATGGCAAAAACAAAAGGAATAACAGTATTACATTTGCCACCTTATCATTGTTAACTAAATAAAATACTAATGGCCAGATAGAATACAACTTTTAAATTGAAGAATGTCAAATAATGTTTATTAAATTCTATAAAAAACATAACGAAACAAAACTGAACCAATGCCATAAACCACATAAAAAAGAGGAAGAAAGATTGTGGACTGTTGATAAAATCATTGAAAAACTTTGTCAATCTACAATCAATCACAACGAATCTGACATAGAAGAAAAGAAAGAGATGGAAATCTATTTATAAATAAATCAGTAAGTTTTTAATTTATTCATATTGCTTAAATTTAGTTTAGCAATATGATGTATCCACTTTATGATTAATTGTATTTAACATATAAATCTGTCCCTTTTTGATTCTCCAACATTGACCCATGATTTTATACCTGTGAGGTACATAATCATTGGGTTTGTATTGTTATTTATTTATTTATATGTGAACAGGATGGACTCTTTGACAAATAATAGCTAAAACTACATTTCAACAGGAGAGGATATTATTTTCAGTGGATATTATACCACTTTACCTGCTGTTTGCAGATTAGGGAAGATTTATATTTGTAATGAGCCACCAGTTAACAGATAGACTTTTGTTTTATACATAGAAACACAATGGAAAAAATTAATAATCTCTATTAATTCTATTGTTTAAAACACAAAAGTTTTGGGTAACTTTTTATATATCTTTTAAGATTTAATGTCCATTTAACTTCCCTTTCTAAGACTATTTCTAGCCTTACTTCTAGCTTAGGATAACATGTAAAATTTGCCATTTACTTATTAACAATCTTAAGTCACAATATAGTGATATACAATAGGTAGGAGTAAAACTTGTGTGGCTTGGTCCTTGGATATTACTAGTTATTGTATCATTTAAAGTCCATGACTCACAGTTGCATATTAGTAATATAATATAAGTATGTAAATGGTATTCAGTTTCAAAACTGAATTTTTTTCTCATGAATGTCTTTTTAATTTATCATCAACTGAAAGATTTTGTTAAAGTTTAGTTAAAAAATACTTCTTGAATGATTGTTTTATATATTGCATTTTCATGTTGTGGCTTTCTTATACCATTAAAATCCCTAAGGACTTTGAAATCTCCATATTTATTTAATAGCTGAATTATCTATTTAATTTGTCAGATATCCAAAAATGTACTTAAATACAATAATAAGAAAAATTTGACAATAAAGTTTGTAATCAAAACAAGCAAAAGCAACAGTGTAATAACATTTCGAAACTGCTTAAAAATCAAATGTTATAATAATAGTAAGGGTATGTTCAATTTACATACCAAAACCTGCTACAGTTTTCTTAATTTACGATAAAATGATACCATGTTAAGTTAAAAGAAAGTGATGACCTATGTAAAATCACATACCTTTTTGTATTAGTAACAAGACCAAATATGCCAAGCATGTATTCAAAAGGGTCTTTTGCAGTGAAATCATGTCGCAGTTTATGTTTCTTCCCATAATAGAAATTTAAAGAAAAAGTGGCGTATTATTTTTGTTGAAATCAAACATGGACAACAACTTAGCCCAGGTCAAGAAAGTAAAAAATAACAAATAGAAAAACTAAAGAACATTTTCACTTTTCGTTAGATAAACACTAGTAAGTCATAATCTCCATACAAAATAATCAAATTGTATGTAAATTCTTTGAAAAACTCAACAAATGCGTATTTTTCACTTAAATCACATTACACACTTTTTACAACTAGTGCAGAGATAGGCGAGTATTTATAATCACTAGTAATCAGTTAGATCAGAAGTCTAGAAAATAGACTCAGCTCAGAAGAACTCGAACGACAAATGACATGGAACACAAAAGATTAACCATTAACCATTCGAATTGAATAGAATCGATTGTGAAGAAAGTATTTTACGAGGGTAAAATGAAAAGTTGATAGAAAAAGTTGGTATAATAAAAATGTATAGTCCCCATTATGTGCTGGTGCAGTTTAGTAGTATAGTAGAATAGTCTGTTATTTCTTGGGTCTATAGTAAACAAGAAAGCCAACAGAATCAGTGCTACGCTTCAACTTGCCTTTATTATATTTTACCCAAGGTAATGATTTTATTCATACTGAGTCGATCTGATGGTCTCGCCGACGCCAAGTATTGAATTCCGGCTTCTTCTGTGATTGTGGTTATAGTCATATAATAAAAATATGATCTTATTCTGTAGTATTTCATATTATTGTTAATTTTAACAATTGCAGATTATTTTACGTAAAGCAAATAATAACCTAACACCAACTTTAGTCTTTTTGAGCCAAACCAATGTTAACCATAGTAATAAGACTAAAAGTATTCATTAGGTACTTTGAATGTATGGTTTTATTTAGATAATAAACCAGTATCAACTGTTAAGAATTATTAGAGGGAAATACCTATATTTTTATTTAATGTATTTTGCAATATTACATGAACTGACTTAATGTTTAATATTAACTGACTATCTAGTATTGTGGAAAATATTTTATATGCTGCATTTTTAGCATTTTTAAATTCCTTGATAAATAAATTCCTTGGTATATATTGAAATCCCCTCGTATATGTATTAAATTGAAATCCCCCATATATGTATTAAAGTAACGAAGAATGTTTTCCATGTTTCTCTGTTCCTATCGTACGAGTTAAAACCCAAATAATATTTCATTCTTTTTACGTCGCTGGAGTTAATGTAAATCATTTTATAGTTTGTTTACATTTCACAGATGCGTATTTCCTTGATATTTCTTTCTTCGAAGCCGCTAATATTTTGCATTTCAGTTTCCGTGGTAAGTGTTTTTTTAAGGTGTGCGAATGAATTTTAAAGATAATTGATTATTCTTACTTAGGTCGCTGTCAAAGACAGTTGCCTTCAGTGTGGATCCAAATTAATTTGATGTAAATTTGTTGAAAGTAGTGGAATTTACTCTCTGTGAATATGTCAGTTTAGAAAAGAGTAATCACTATATATTTTGCCAAGTATCTAAGAGATTTGTGTCGTGTACCAGAGTTCTGAAAATGGTTCAAAAACAAACCGCTGATTTGTTTCTACCTCATTTAAGTTTGTCCTCAGCTCATCAACGTTTCAGACCATAGATGTAGTCCTTTTTTTTAGTGTATAGTAGAAATCCCAATTCTAATTCCGGAAGTTTAGTGCATATTTTTTCTTGTTGTGTAACCAAGGTAACTTTTTTTTAAACTTTTGAATGAAAAATAAACATTAAAATAATAATTGCATAATTTAAAGGAATTGTAATAATTAATATATAGTATAAAACGTCAAATTAAATGTTGACATACGACAGCCAGCCTCATTTTTGTGACATGATTTATTTTGTTTTTAGAAAAGGTTAACCTTTATGATGTTTTCTTTTAAAAAGACAATTCTACAATTTTTTAATTTATTTCTGCCACGATTTATAGCTCAGTTAACTGATAACTTAATAATAACAATGTTTGAAAGTTTTGTTAGCAGTTCCCAATTCTATTTTTTTTTTTTATTATTGAGTTAATGCCTTGACAACTAAGATCATTGGCATGGTACAGTCAGGTACCTAGTGTAGTGTGTGTGTGTGTGTGTGTGTGTGTGTGTGTGTGTGTGTGTGTGTGTGTGTGTGTGTGTAGAGTAATTGTCTTGATACTGAGCAAAGTCGACGTCATTGTCTTTGCTAAGAGACGCTAATTGTATCCGAATGTCTGCGGTCCCTCCGGTGAGTACCGATCGCACAAGGATAGAAATTATTTTCATTTATTAATTTTTAAAAAACGAACATTTTTCCACCCAGATGAGATTCGAACTCACGATCTTTAGGTTTAAAGGTAGGCGCTCTTACCACTGAGCCACAGAGGGGGTTTTTCCAATTCTAAACATATCTTATAAAACAGATAGGACACATGAAAGTTTTTTTTCTTTCATTATTTTGGTATAAACGCTTGTAATTATATATACATTGTAATTATTTTTGTATTATCTGCATGTATAACTCTTTGTGTTGAGACAACAATAAATGCTTAATTTATTTCTCTAATCATTTTGTATATTTATTAAAAAAACTCCTAACCTTTTTTCGTGTTCTTTATTTTAGGAAGGAAGAGAATTTTTTCTTTTATCCAGCAAGATTAGGATTCTTCGAAGCGGCGTCCTTTTTCAAATACCTAGAGGTTTTTCTTGTTGTTTTTGTTTGCCCATTTACCCTCTTTTATTTCATTTTTGTCATTGTCCCAATCCGACTCCTTGTCATTCAACTTATCCACGATCCCAGCTCTCCAATTAAGCCCTGAGTGAGAGTTTTCGTTTATTTTACTTACCATATCGCTAACCCAATAGTTTCTGTCCTCAAGTTTCAACCCCCACCCTATGTGGTATGCAAAATATATTCGTTATACATTTAGAAGCGTCAAAGTTCTTAACTTTTTGAAAAAACGTAGACGTATTAGAGTCATTTAGTAAAAAAACTATAAAAAATAAAACAAAACTGTATATTTATTATTCCCTTGTTAACAGCTCACTCACATACGAAAGCACGGTTTGGCAATTCACTCTTTGCACAGAAAATGACAGAATGAATAAAAGCGACAGAATTGGACTTTTTCAGAAGACCAGCAAGAAAATTCAAAACAAAAAAATCACAAATAAAGACGTCAGAAGAACGCTGTTATTGATGATATACACCAAAAAACAACTCATATGGAATAGACCAGTAAACAAAATAGGTAATTACCAAATAGCAAAATGAATAATTAACTGGAAAGCATCACTGCAGTCATCAAGGACGAATATGTCACTGAATCTCTAAAAATCATACAAGTAAGCTGAATTTTGCTGAGAATGTTCATTTTGGGACCTCAAAAAAAGATGCAAATACGTTTACCACTCCTATTCCTCTGCTTCTCCCTAAAACCCCACTCTTAGGGAGGAAAAACGAAAAAAATCGATTTGCCAAGAATCTGTACGTAGAAAAAAAATTTCAAATAAAAATAAAATTTTAGATGTAGATAATTTTGGACAAATCAGTTTTTATGTAGAACAAATTTTACTTCAAACGTTTTCTTAGAAACAACGTTTGAAGTTATGATACAAATAATAACAGGTATGATATTGCGTAGGCTACTGTCAGCAGATCCCCTACTCTTGGCAGTGGACAATGAGAGTGGCCGTCATTCTAATATGTGTTTATTAGGGAAATTTTATCAATATTTTTGCATTTGTCTTCTTTAGCAAGCTTGTTTTGTAGATTTTATGGTGTTTTATACGATTTAAGTTTCTTGTGATTAATTTATATGGACAATATTTTGGTGTTTTAGAAGTTATAAGTAAGGTATGTTTAGTTATTATTGAGTCAATACTTAATATTCAACCATAATCATACCACTCCTATATTTTTTAGGGACTTTCGCTAGGAATAATTTATAAGCTAAACATAAAATGCGTTGCAGATGCTGGTTGTTTAAGTGATAATCAGACAAGAGATGCCGATAAATCTGGCAGGTTCCATTATTTAAAATCACTTTCATTGTGACGATGTTCAATTTCGAGCTAGGGAGTATCATACCTGTTATTCTTTGTATCTCGGTGTGAAGCTATCGGCGATTTTGAATGTTAGTTCACGCGCGAAATCAATTTTAAATACAATTTGTATCAGCTCGACGGTAAAAAGTCGATATATTTTTATCAGACTGTTCTGTCGACAAAAATCAAATGTGAAAAGTGTAGCTTTAGTAACATTTGTTGTGTATTGTCGCAAATGAAGTCAGATTTTATAAAAGTGTTACATAAATACGGACATAGCAGCCGACACGAGTTTGGCAATGGTTTTCTAGTCAGTAAAAAAGCAAAGCAATTAGTCCTTAACTTTAAACCCATAAACAACAGAATATGTTATCTACGTCTTAAAGGAAAATTATTTAATTATAGCTTACTTAGTGTACACGCACCTACGGAAGAAAAGGAGGATAATGAAAAAGATGAATTCTATGACACCTTAGACAAAGAATATGATCGATGTCCACGTCATGACGTGAAAATCATTGCTGGAGACCTTAATGCAAAAATTGGCAAAGAGCAATTTTTCCAGCCAACTATAGGACGTGAGAGCTTACATGAAGAGTCAAATGATAACGGGTTGAGACTAATAAACTTTGCAAGTACTAAAAACATGATAGTAGGAGGAACAACATTTCCCCATAAAATGATACACAAAGGAACATGAAAATCCCCTGATAACGAAACCATTAACCAGATAGATCACATCCTGATAGATGCAAGGCACTCTTCCGATCTCATAGACGTCAGAAGCTACCGAGGCCCAAACATTGACAGTGACCACTTTCTTGTAATGGCAAAAATCAGAGGAAGAATATCAAACCTAAAGAAAGATAAACACACGAAACAAGACAGAATTAATGTTGATAATCTGCGCATTGAAACCGTTGCGAGAGAGTATAGGAGACAAATGGACGAAGAAATGGAGAGCCTGGAGGTGGGGGAAAACGTAGAGGAACTGTAGACAAAATGTAAAAACATAATAACTGAGAAAGCAACAAAAATATTGGGGAAAACCAAACCAGTTAAAGAAAACGAATGGTTTGACAAGGAGTGCCAAGAAGCAACAGATAACAAAAACAGGGCATACCTAAAGACAAATCAAGCTGGATGCACAAGAAGAGCAAAGGAAGAATACCGGACACTAAGAAGAGAAGAAAAACGATTACATAGAAGAAAAAAAAGACAATTTGAGCAA